CAGGACTCCGAGGTCCCTCTCACAGTTACTACTATTGAGCAAGGTGCCACCTATGCTGTACTTGTGCATTTGTTTTTTCTTGCCTAAATGTAGAACCTTGCTTTTTTCACCATTGAATTTCATTTTGTTAGATAGTGCCCAGTGTTCAAGTCTCTCCAGATCCTTCTGTATCTTAAGCCTGTCTTCTGGAGTGTTGGCTATTCCTGCCAGCTTGGTGTCGTCTGCAAATTTGATATATCCCGATCCGATTCTATACACACACACACACACACATTTTTAAAATGTGTTTTTGTATTGGGTTTCTGTATTACTTTTATCTATTTAAGGACATCATTAATAAAACTATTGGAAAAAAGATGTGATTTAGCTCATCCAATTATTGCATGAATCCATTCCCAGAGATTTGTAATGCATGGCCATTAAATTCCTGGAAAGTGCAAGCCAAGTGAGCTGTGGTTTAATCAGCAATTTAAATTTAATTATTTTTACCTATTTATCAGGGTTGGAACAGGAGATCCTAAAATGAGATTTCAGGCTCAATAAACCCAGATTCAACACAAAAACCACAGATGACAAAAATATAATAAATTCGTTTAAATTATTTTACTTATTTAATACATACAGTATAATGTAAGATATAGAAAACTTTAAAAACAGTTCTTAGAAGTTTAAAATAAAAAATCTAGAAATTCAGACAGTGAGTGAAAAATCTAAATCTGAGTTAAAAACCCAGCACTGGCAACTCTGAGCCCAACAGTTAATAAAGAGTCTATTAATTGCTGTCCTGCAATTCTAACAATCCAAGCCATGCAGGCTAGCTAAAAATGAGCATTAAAAAACCCCCCTCAGATTAGCAAGCTTTTTGGCCTGGAATGCTGTTCCACTTCATCCTTGCCTTGGGCAAGAGAAGAGAGGAGGTCCCAACCCAAATGTGAACCTTCCTCCCTCCCTCATAAAAAAGGTTCCAGGGCCTTGTGAACTGGTATCCTGACGACCACACCACAATCAAGCAATCACACCACAATCAAGCCAGTGCTGGAGGATGAAACAAATAAAGAATATTTGTAGCTTGGGGTTGAAATGAGGGGCTCTTTGTGCTGTCTGAGCTTGGTTGTTTTCTTGCCGACTTTTCATTATCTAAACTAAGTAATATCTTCAGTGTTAGCACTGATGATGTTATCTACTTTGAGTAATGAAACTGTGAAACTTTGAGTAATGAAGCTCAAGATGTCTGGTTGTCCCAAAGGTATTTTTTTAAAAGGCAACTGGACATTCTGTGTTTTTTCCTTGAAGACATTTCACTTCTCATCCAAGAAGAGAAGCGAACTGAAGAAGCTTCTTGGGTGAGAAGCGAAACGAAAAAAACAAAGAAAGTCCAGTCGCCTTTTGAATAGCACTTCTGTGACAATTAGCTCAGACAGCACGAAGGAGCGCCCCCTCCCCCTCCCCAGGACTAAACTGCTTACAGCAACTTTCTTTTCCAATCTCTTCTGACCTAAGAATAAGAGCACCCCACTTTTCGGGAGGCTTATGACTGGAGGAGAGATTAATACTGTCGCGGTCACGGAACGCAATTTGTCATTAAAAGGAAAACATGATTTTTGTAGATCTTCGCAACTTTTAGGGAACAAAGGGAACGACTTGGTAGTGCCCGTCCCAAACTCTTTACCTTCAAAATTCGTGCTGCTCGCTTCTCAAAGCTCGCTTCTACTTTCGATTTCCAAGACCTTCGACTTTCTCCCATCAGCCCCGTCTTTTGGGCAAGGTTCCCAGCTGATCGGGAAAGGAGACGGGTGTTTTACTTTTCTAAAGCTACCTTTGTTCCTCAGCCCTGCGGGCTTTAATCAAAACCCCCTAAGTCAAATTCTACTTCGGAAGGATCCGAAAATCTACTTAGTTCGGGCTGAATGGACAATTTATATGCGTGCGCCTTCCGGAAAACCCTACTTCTCGCCCAGCGTCGGAACCGTATGTTAAGTTTCAGGAAACGGATGCTGAATCTTGATTTGTTTGGGTAGTTGGACAAGTAGTGCTTTCTTGTTCTTTTATTATTTGCCACCCAGGCGACTTTTTTGGGGGGGCGTACAATATTAAAAGCAATAAAACCATGAAAAATAGGTAATTCTAATCTTGTACATAAAACAAAAAAAGCAACATATACCCTTTTCCCGTCTAGTAATTGTTACTCAAGTGTGACAGGAATTGGAATTCAACTCTTGTTTTAAGAACTTGTGATGGAAAAATTAAAGCTACAAACTCTCCCATTTTTACTTTACTTTTATCTGCTCTTTCTTCTTCTGTTGCAAACTAATTCTCATTTCCCTCTGCTTTTTTGCCCCATGTGTAAACTAGATCAACTTCAGGCTAATGCATAAGTCAAACATGGCTTTCAGCTGCCTATGTAGTTCTTTAATCCTATCCCTGAAAACAATGAACAGCCCTTACCTAAAAAAAGTTACTCGGAGTGCTACTCAAAAACCCCCAAATAATTTCTGCTTTTTAGTATCCCATTTTACTCCAACCAGCAAATTTATTTGTACCAATCAATACTGAAAACCGAGATAAACCCCAAGAAGAGCATAGTATAAGTAATAATCACATGCACATTATCATTTCCCATTAATGTATTCCCCATTCCGTTATGTTGCATCTAGGATATGTTCAACACTGGAGATTTATTTTTCTTTGTCTATTCAATCTGTCAGTTTATAGGTCTTCAGAATTCACTTAATCATAATTAGGAGAGAGATCTCAAATTTGTCCCAACACATACTGTAATCAGACCACTCTTTGTGTATTCTTCTACTCTTTACTGTACTTCGACAACATATTTCACTAGCCTGCTGAATACTACCAGATCAGGGCAAAAATCCAAACAACCAGCAGATGGCTGTAAGTCTGTAAAGCAAACCCTATTGCCTACTTTGGTCAACTGGATTTCTGCAGGCTAGTTCTGGTAGCCTAATTCTAACTAATCTACGAAGGAGGAAGCTTGCAATACAATTACAGAGAAATAGGGTTTTCAAAAACATTTATTGGTTCAGTTGAAAACAAATCAGAATCTGAGCTTCTGGAAAAACCACTTGTTCTTGCCTGTCTTGTATCTGAAAGAAAGAAAAATTTTGTTTATAGTTCTGCAGATCTCTGTGTAAGCATTAGCCAAAGCAATCACTTCATGTATTAAACGGACTAGGGAATGATGTATGATGGTTGAGATTTTTAGGACTTGTAGATGTGTGACATATTCAGAGGGGAACAAGTATGGAAGATTGATATAAAGCAAGAGACATTGTCAGAATCACAGAAGTTATAAAATAAGCCACATCAACCATCAGAACAGATGGTAAATTTCTTCTTAAACATTTCCTTTATTAGGGCAACTCAAAGTACAGGTATCCTTGACTTACAATTCATTTAGTGACTGTCTGAAGTTACAACAGCACTGAAAAGTGACATGATCCCCAGTCACGTTATCAAAATTTGGATGCTTGGCAACTGGCATGTATTTATGACAGCTGCATTGTCCCAGAGTCATGTCATCGCCATTGGTAAAACCCAGTTATAGCTTACATGAAATTATTTTGTATCCACTTTTTCTTATAATTTTTTTTTTGCTCCATCAAAAATTAACATTGCAGCTTGAATTCAACTAGAAACGTAACATCATTCCAAGATTCACCTTTCTTCAAATTTCACTTTGGCCTCTCGCCGTGCCTTACGTTTCAGGGCAGGATCTCTAAATACATCCTTGTTGACAATGGTTTTGTCCAGGGGAATATCAACAGAATACCTAAGCAAAACACAAGAGGTGGGGAAGTTACAAACCCAGAAGCACTTTTGCCCTCTTCCCTAGCTTTTCTTTCAAGGTCGTAGCTGAAATCAGAGCACAGGAGAAAGGAGATTGAAACAACTATTGCTCTTGGTGAAAAGAGTAAATACAGCCGTACATACTTTCTTTTCCTCCCACATAATATTCTTCCGTACTTCCTTTTCCTTCCAACTCACCTGGTTGGCATCAAGTGGTTGTAATTGTAAACTTTAACAAAGGACTTGATTTTGGACCTCTTAGCAATTTTCTTCTTTCCCATACTGGCTGTTACTTTGCGTGGGTAACGATCAATACCTGCCACCAAGGCATGGCTGTATGGGCGGTCTGAAGTGCCATCATCAATGTTCTGTAATAGAAACTCATTAGAAAAGTCATCCTAAGCAGCATCTTCTACAATGTTTAACAATGATATTGATGGGTAATCAACTGCGACTTTATTCAGGAGGAAAAAAAATAGTGCTATTTTTGTGTTCCTGAACACGAAACTATTCAAACCCAGTCAATTTTTTTTAAAAAAGCATTCTGAACTCTTTCAAATGATCACTGTGTAATTACCATCCAAGTCTGTCTTTGCTTTACTTAGTTCAGAATTTACTACTTACTTTTATGGGTTTAAAGAATTTACGTTATCATAAAATGTGCCCACATCTATCACTCCAATTTTCAATAGAAAAGCATAATTAGGTGGGAAAATGAACTCTGCATCGGCTTTGCTAGACTGTATATATAGCTCAACTGAAATCATACATCAATTTTAAATCACATCATACACAACTAGGCACAATATAAGCTTAGATAGTCACTGACCTCTCATCACATAATAGATCACTTTAAATCAGAATTCTCAATTATGATATTCAAAGACCTTGGATTTTCCACCTTTATTGTTACTGTTCCTGATACAGCTTTCTTAGTTTGTAACTCTTTATTAGACTGTAATATTTATTAAGGTTATGCAATTTTATAATAGTACTTGTATGCTACCCTACACTGGCTTTAACTTGGTGTAAAGTGGCTCAGAAATGATGATTTATTATTGAAAAAAATAAAATCTAAGATAATACTAAGTGCATTCCATTATTTTGGACACAACTTTTAGAAAGCAAATTGGCAACACAGTCAATCTTGGAAAAAGCAAAGCAGGATAAGACATTATTAATATTTAGATGGGAAACCATTAGTAAATTCCAAAGCTGTAGTGTGGAGTATAGTAAAATATTCTGGAAGAAGGCAGTGTGGCAAACCACTTTCATACTGCTGCCAAAATGATTATGGTCATCCAGAGTTGAATTCAGGGAGGCTCTACTTGGTGAAGAGATCCAGCTTTCTCACCTTAACAATAACAGCTTTGCGTCCAGAATAGCGTCCAGCCAAAACAAGAACGACCTTACCAGGTTTCATAAACTTGCCCATCTCTGAGTAGAACAGCAAAGAAAAACTTAAAAATGCAATCACATACATATCACATCATTATTTGAACAATCAAGCATTTTCTTACCATTAAGTCTATCTATAAAGTATCATTGATATATAAGTATGGTTTTATCTAGGAGTGAGACAACCAGAATTTAAACGCAACTTTTTTTATCTTAGCAATGAGAGGAATGATCAACGACGGTTGTAAGTTTGCTTACCAACAGGGTTAAGTTAATCTCGTAGACCCGAGAGCCAAGGAATTAATAAGGGCAATGCCGGCCCACAATAGGTTTTTATTTTTATTTAAAAACAGATAAAACATTTATTCTAGACGGCGGCAACTTTACCATGAACGCTTAAGAAAAACATCAGCCCTTAAGAGAATGTATTTCCTTCTCTAGTGCCGGCACATCCCAGACCACGAGAAACGAAGTTCCCTATCATAGCTACTCACTGCATCTTCATATTTCTAAACTTCCCATACTATCAGAGACATATCTATTATTTAGCTGCCCCACCAACCTGACTTTCCAAACGGTTTGAGAGGATTACAACAGATTGTGCCACAGCGGTTACGCCAACCTTACCGAATACACTTCGTCTATGGGACGAAGCCGGAAAAGGAGATCATGCAACTTCCGCCGACCTTTCACCCTACTGAACACACTGCGCATGCGTACTTTCATTCAGCGGGTACGCGCATGAGCTATTGATTTGGATTTCCGTTACCTGAGTAGTTGAAAAGCAGTCACTTTCGTCTTTTTTCTAAGATTGAAATTTACCTTTAGAAAATAATTAAGAAATCCAGGATCTAAGAGTAGTTTTGCAATTGTGTATTTAGCTTAGTATGTTTATTACCTAGTCTATCCACAAGTGATGATAGTAAACTCAGTAATTCCTCTGCCATTCTTTTCTCTCATACTTTGTGTGAACGTTATCATTCGAATTAAGCATTTAAAAGCGGAAAGTCAGATTTCGAGAGCAGCCAAATGTAGAATGACAATTGATTCCATTTGTTAATAATTTTTTTTAAAAAAAAACCCATGGTAATACAAACCAGCGTCAGGTAACTCAGGAGCTCATTTCCCCCCTTTTCATATTGTATGTTAAACCAAGGGAAGAGTTAGTGCAACGTAAATAGTACAATCAATTTAACATTTCCTAAACACTTTTGCCATAGAAAAAAGGCAACCCTAACCCTATTGGCTCAAAAACAATTTAGAAACTTGCTGAGCAGTGTTGGGGATAATAGCCTATCAGTCAGAGAAGGCTGAGCTAACATGATTATGCTTAGTAATTATTTTGTTTATTTTTGCCAAAACAAGACATTTTCATTGTTCTGGAATGATTCGCACTTAAGTCATTTCTGAAGTAAACTCAAGAATGATGTTTAAATGTTGGATATACCTTCTATGTTGAAATATATATACTGCTCAAAAAAATAAAAACGCAAACCCCTTCAGTTCCATGTTAAAATGTTCCCTTTATTTTTGTGAGCAGTATATTTAAGTATGCAAATCATTACAATTTGTATATTAAAAGTAAACCTTTTGCTTCAACAGTTTTTAGATAACCTTTATTGTCATTTTTTTACTGTGAGCACATTGGC